TTTTTTTTTTTTTTTTTGGACAGCAAGGCCAAGAGAAGCAGAGGAACCACTTTATACTTGCATAGAGCTTTCTTTGATTTACAAACCACCCACACATCTATGATCTCATCCAGCCTCATAGCAACCCAATGAGGTAAACCTGCTCCCCCCTCCACACACAGTAAGGTACACTTACCACTCAGCACTGTTAGGGAGAGAGCACACAGTGAGCACAGCGCTAGCTACTAGGCATTAGACACGGCAAATATCATCTCACCCCTCTAATTAGTGAGGGGCTGGGAATCAGAGGCTGGACAGTTGATGCCAGGCGTCTGGGGATCTAGAGCAAGCTGGGAAGGTGGACCACTCGGTGCAGGATTCTTTACCCCACATGCCAATATGGCCCTAATTGTTCAAATCCTCTGACAACTATGCATTTCCATGGGGGCTTAGTCACACTGGTAGGAAGGGAGCCCAAAGTCTTGGTACCATCCCCTGTTCTCTGCTGGCCAAACACTCAGGGCTTCAGTTCTCTGGACCTTTGTGTCATCTTTTCTTTTTTTAGACCAAACAATGGAATGTCAAGCTTCCAGATCAAAGGCTCTATTACAAGCACAACGTATCGTTTAATTACACGGCTGCCCCAGTTATCTGCTTCCCAGCGCCTAACTCCCACGGGGCTGACCCTGAAACCACACAGATTACCTCAAGGGGGAGAACAGGGGAAACATTCTCTCCCTGAACTTTCTTAGATGGGAGGGAGAAACAAAATGAAAAGAAAGGCCCATTTTCCAAGGAGGGGGCTGGGGCAATGATCTTCCTGTTAAGCGGACCTGCAGAAGAATCTATAGATTACTTAACGCCGGGGGTGGCTGTGGAGTAAAATAAAGGAATCTTTGTGTGGTGCCAGCCACAGTTCCCTCAGTCCTAACCCACAGCCAGGCATTTAACCCAACTCTTTAAATCATCAAACTCTAATGCACCCCATCTGTGCACCGGTTGTGGCCAATGAAACTAAAGCCTGTGCTGACTTTGGCCTGGATTTGTGAATGAGCCTTTTTGCCCCAGAAGGCCCAGGATAGAGGGCATGCGGCCAACAAAGTCTCTCTTGCTCGTCACTTGTCTTCTCTCAAAGGTCAGGCTCCATCCATGCATGTATTTGATCATTTATTGAGCTCTTGCCTTGGGTGGGATTCTGACCCAGAGGATACAAAGCTAGTAGGACATGGCCCCAGGTGGAAAAGACTGTGTAGGGGCTCCTGGGAGAGAGGAAGGTGAGGAAAAAGGGCTGCCCTTGGCTGAGGCACAGCAGCCTGAAATCCTGTCTGTATATTTAGGGAATGCGGCTTAGTTCCAAGCGGTTGGAACATAAAGCAAGGAACTGGCAGGAGCCCTAACTCAAAAGGTCGGCTCTGCCACATCATCCAAGACCCCGTATACCAGGCCAGAGATGAGAGTGACTCTGAAGGCCATTGCCATCTCCCCAAAGTCACTTCAGCCTATCCTACAGGGCCTACTTCTTCCAGAAATCCTTCTTAAACATCCGCAAAGTAATTGCTCTCTCTTCTTTGAGCTTCCAATTTAAGTTCTTGGGCAACATTTATAACTCTCAACTTCTCCATCCATATAAAACTCCATCCATATAAAATATGACTAGTATCGCCCAACCGGTGTGGCTCAGTGGTTGAGTATCAAACCATACATCAAGAGGTCTGTGGTTTGATTTCCAATTGGGACACATGCCTGGGTTGTAGGCTCAATCCCTAGCAGGGAGTGTGCAGGAGGCAGCTGATCGATGTTGATGTTTCTCTCTCATTGATGTGTCTATCTCTCTCTCTCTCTCAAAAAATCAATTTAAAAAAAACATATTTAAAGGGGGAAAAAAGAAGCCTGAAGGTATTTTAAAAAATGAAATATGACTAATGTCACCTACTTTTTTTAAAAAATATATTTTATTGATTTTTTACAGAGAGGAAGGGAGAGGGATAGAGAGTCAGAAACATCGATGAGAGAGAAACATCGATCAGCTGCCTCCTGCACATCTCCCACTGGGAATGTGCCCGCAACCAAGGTACATGCCCTTGACCGGAATCGAACCCGGGACCCTTCAGTCCGCAGGCTGACGCTCTATCCACTGAGCCAAACCGGCTTTGGCAAATGTCACCTACTTTAAAGGCTTCCTATGAAGGTTAAGTGAGATAACAAAGTGTCAAGTAGCAGGATTTTAGGACAGAGAAGGCGCTAAAATACATTTCACTGGTCCCTCAATTTCTTATGATACAGAGCACTTCTTCCTGGTATTAAAAAAAAAAACGTCTTGGCTTCCACTTTCTCTGGAGGTTTTCAGAAATAGGACAACTCACATTTTCCCTTCAAGCTTGCAGGCACTCTTCCAAAGCCAAAAGGACTGAATCCTGTCTTCCCTCGCTGACACAGCCTCCCCCATCCAAACTTCCACACTCAGGGGTTCCCGTAAGATCCACGGCATCTGAGACAACACGAGTTAGGTGCCGGAGGAGGAAGCTAGGGACTGGCTGAAGCAGAAACAGCAGGAAGGACAGTAACTGGAAGAAACCCAGAGAAGGGAAGTGGGCCAGGTGCCGGGACTCAGAAGGTTCCAGGGTTCAAGGTCTGTGGTAACCCTAGACCCTGGAATAGGCCTAGGAGGAGGAGGTCCAACCCGGGCCCTGACTTAAGAATCCCTACACCACACGTGGTTGTTCAGCAGCCTTCCTCATGTCCTGGTGGGCCAGCCAGCTGGACACGACTGTTGTAGAACTGCTGCTCCTTCCTCCCTCTCTGGCTGGGGCTCCCAGGCCTGGGGCAGGGAAAACGATGCCATCTTTTCTAGCATTTTTTTAAAACTTAGTCTGGGTCTGCATAAAGGCCTGTTTGTTTCTTTTTATCTTTTTTCTTTTTCTTTCTTCTTCTTCTTCTTTTTTTTTTTTTGCTTGAATGGCATGTAGTACAGGTTCAGAGGAAGGAGGTTTTTTAAAGGGAAAAGTCCTCCGTGATCTCTTTCTCCTTTTTATGTAGCCTCGTAAAACCTGTTTCTCCTCCCGTGGGAATTCAGGGCCAGGAGGGAGGCAGCTCCCCTGAGAGTGCTGCTTGAAGGAGCCAGTTCCTAGACTGTACAACGGAGATGTTGGGTTTATTTATTTTTTTCATATCCTCCCGCCCCAACCCCAACTTTAGGAAGCAGTTGCCAAGGCTCCTCTGGAAAATAGGGTTCCATGTTCTCTTCTAATTGGGATCAAATGCCACGTTAAGGCCCTAATGGTCCCCACAGGCCAGTGAGTCAGCTCTTCCCCAAGTCACTCTGGTCCTCCCCAAAGTCCAACAGTCTCATGACCTTGAAAGGCTGTATCCTCAACTCATCTCAGCTAAGGACCCACTACAAGACATCCTGGCCCCACCAACTTTCTCCCCACTCACTTTCCAGGCAGGCAGCATTCTAGACAGTGTTCGTCTGCCAACCTACGCCAAGCAAGCCAAGCCAAAGACTCCAATCCCTCCCTTAGCCCCTCTCCCCTCTGGCCTGCGAGCCACCATTCCAACAGGGATGGCATCCAATTTCCAAAATAACAAACTAGCACACGCCCTCCCCAACTCAGTTATTTCTCAGTTGGATGAGACAGCCATGTGGGTCAGCCCCTCCCTAACTCCCACACCTCCTCCCTGATATTGAAGATGCAGCACCAATACCCAGGCTCTTGGAGAGCTTGTAACCTTCTGCACCTTTAGGGGCAGGAAGTGCCCTTCCCCGGGGAAGGCAAGGCAGGCCTGCAGGGAACGTGTACCTTAGAAATGAGTTCATCATGATTGGCCAAGTGGGCTCTGCAGTGAATGCAGCTGTAGGTCCGGTGGCAGGAGGGCAGGTAGGCCTGGAAAGTCTTGGATCTTGTCATCTTCACCATTGGCGCCGCTGAGCGTGGGGTGAACTCTGGGGCAGCCCACGAGGCACTCCCACAGGACGGGTCGCAGGGGAAACACCGGAAGACACAGGTAAAGGCCGTGGTGTGGCAGGGAGTGGGTGTGGGGCGGGCTCCACACACTGGCGATGTCTTCAGAGGAAGGACCCTCAAGCAGAGGTCTCCGGCCGGTGCTCAGCAGCCTGCAGTACCAAGATAAGGGAATATCATTAGCTGATGGAGCTGGGCTTCCTGCACAGCAAGTCGAGTCCAACTGCCACCAGGAGGGCAACAGTTATAGGATGAAATGACCCCCTTCTGCTTCCTGCACTGTGTCAAGATGCCCCGTGGAGAAAGAAACCACCGGAGATCCCAGAACTGCTGCTTTCCTCGAGTTGGAAGTTCAGGGCTTTTAGCAGTCCCTCACCGACAGACAGCAAACTGGCATGATCACCATGCTAGGGAGCCCTGCAACAGGCCAGGCGTAAATGTCCTGCCTGTAGCCCCTGGGAGAGGGCTCCTAAGGGCCCCCCTCTCCTGAGCCGGCTAAGATAAATGGCAGGAGTGAAAGGAGAAATGCAGCCTCCAGAGAGTCACTACATCAACAGTCACATCTGGATTTCTCATCCATTCCCAACACGTGAACTCCGATATGCCCCACACTAAGCACGGGATACAAAGGATCAAGTTCCCAACCAGCCAGGGCCCTCATGGCTGGCCATCGTTTTTGGGAGAAGTAATTCCCTTTGCCCTATCTTGCCCAGAAGTAGATGCTTAGTATATTGAAAACAAGCAAGCCAGCAAGCAAACAAAAAACCCTCAAGTGAATAAATGAAACCAATGAAATAAACTCCTGCACCTGAAATTCACAATGATAGTGAATTGTACCAGAATTCCTCCTCAACACTCAATCTTCCCCTTACTCATCCCACGGAGCCAAATCTCTCTCCTATCAGAACCTCGGCTCCTCTGTTCTATTGGGGACCAAGGACACTGAGACTGTATGGCTCCCAGGGCGTGTCCAAGTAAAGGTCAGAGGGCCCCAAGGTCTAAGCCTCCTCTGCCTGCTCAGGCTCACCTGCCTGAGGCTTCTGGACCCGCCTATTCCCTGAGCTTCACTACCGGGGGTGGTGTTCCCACTTGCCTCCCTCCAAGGAGAACCAGAGTGTTAATTACCACCTGTGTCAGGCTTTGAAGATAAAATTATTTAGAGAGACCGGGGAGGAAGATAAACAAAACCAATATTCCTGGCTGGATTATGTCTGGAATCCATCTGGCTATCTAGAGAAAGTCTGCAAATCATAGTTCTTTTTCCTTTAAACCTCACTGGAATCAAATCTTCCCAAGGGAGGCTGCCCTCCCCCTGACATCATTCCCCCAACCCCCCGCCCCAGCAGCCACTGAAGGCCACTGCATCCCGGAACTCCACCTTCCTGAGTGGTCAATCCCACCCGCCGGCACTGACCTGAAGGACAACAGTGGTCACTACCCTTATCCTGCCTGTCCCTTGTGCACCCCCGAGCCAAGCAGGGTCCACATCCATGAGATGTCCCATTGTTGAAAGAATTCAGGCCTGTAGGGGCCCAGTCTTCCCTGCACAGTCTCTTTTGAAAGCTGTGAAATCTGGTTAAACTGAACATTATAAAATAACTTGAAGGATATGGAGGTGAGAACTGACTGACTCAGTGTTGGGCCTGGCCACAGCGGGAGGTGCGGCAGGAAGAGACATGGCCCTTGGCTGCAGGTCCCATTCACCTCCGGCTGGGCCCACTCTGGGAGTGGGTAGAACCAAAGCCCATGGGATAGCAAGGCTGTTCTGTGCTCAACTACTACAGGGTAGTTAGTTGGTTTCCTGAAATGCCCTTGCACTTCCCAATACCCCTGTCCCACTCTCAGGAAGAACAGCATTCCCAGGAAAGGAAGAGTATTCGCAGGGTAAGGAACAGAAGCGAGCAGGAGGCTTGCTCAGGGCTGGCCCCCGCCCCCCTCAGGCCATGCCTTCGCTGCCCAGTGGGGAGCACGAAGAGCACGGGCCTCCTCAGTCTTAGACAAACACTGAGGGACGAAAAGGAAACAAAGAGCCCAGGCTGCCAGTCTGGGTTTATAGAGCAGCCACAGGGTCTGTTTTCTTATACACGCAGCCGGCTTCTAAATTATGCATTTCCCCAGAGTAGAATTATTTCTTCTCTCACTTCTCTTCTGCAGGAAACCAAAAAAAAAAAAAAAAAAAAAAAGTTTGTAGGCAGGGGTTTCTGGTTTTGCTCTGCTTTAAATCTGAATCGCAAAACGTATTGTATTCAAAGCCACCGTCTGAGCAATAGGCATTTACACAGCCTGTATTAACCCTATGTCCCATACAAACACATACCCACGCACACACATTCACTGCACACCACAGCTCTGAACTTGAGAAGACAAGAGAAAAGCCAGCCATGCCAGCAATATCCCAGGCTGCCCGGTGCTAGGAAAGGCCCTGGGGAGCCCAGACAGCAGGCCCTGGTCTGCGCTGCTCCAGTCCCTGCCTTCTCGCTCCTGCACAGGAAGGCACAGCACCTGAAAGCCGACTCCTGCCCCAAGAAGGAAGGAAAGAAAAAGTATGGTGCTGCAATATGAATCCTGTTCAGCCGGTACAGGGCAAACTAGAAGGGATGAGGGGGGTGAGTGCAAAGCAAGGTGAAGGAAGCAGCATCAAGAAAGAAGAGGAGGCCGAACAAGAGGAAAACAGATGCCGGTCAGGGACAGGAAAATAACTACCTTCTTCCCTCTTGTGGGAAAAATGTTAAACCTTCTTTGAGCTGGTTTGTAGGAAGGAATATAACATAGTTGAGGTGCGTGTTGTTGTTTTTTAAGGAAGAAATTGAGGGTGTGGGGCTACAGGCTCCATGGAGCTTCCTAACGCCAACATATTGATTCCCAATAATAATCAAATGAGCTCAATACTGTAGTTAAAAACCTCCGGGCACAGGTACAAATTAAACACCGTTTTAAGGGAAGTGATAATCCATCACAGTTGAAATTAAAGGAAGATTTGCTACCACCCCCAGCTGGCTCCCGCTGATCAGCACGGAAAGAAAATAGGTGAACTATTATTATGATTAAAAACAAAGACCTTCCATACACCACTCTGAGAGCCAAATGCATAGGAAAGGGAGCTCAGGCCGAAATGGGCTGGTCCACCTGACGGACAGGCCTGCTCCCCAAGGGGCCACGACTGCAGCTGGGACTCAACACAGAGCCTTCTGCGTGTCCCCAGGATGGAGGGTGAGGGGGATGAATTCTTCAGGTGAGCCAGGAAGGAACTCGAAGGACGTGGGGGCAAAGCTCTACTGACACACACTCAGTCCCACAGAAACTGAGAAGGTGGAACTCACAGGGGAAGTAACACCTCCAACCACAGGACGGGCCTCGGTGTGTTGTCGTTTCTGTGGGGTGCTTTGTTGTTTCTGTGGGGTGTTTTGGTAGAGGGCAGGCGAAGACTGCCTGCAGAAGACGTGGGCTCTGGAATCAAACCAGTTCTACTCCTTTCTAGCTGAGTGATCTGGGGCAAGTTATTCAACTACTCTGACCTTCAGCTTCCCCAACTCTAATAATACCAACCTACAGAGAGTTAGGAGGATTAAATGAGATGATGTAAGTGCATCTACACAATGCTGGCACACAGCCCCGGCAGGCCCATGGGCCTCCTTTCCCCTTTATATCCACTCTCCGCATTTCAGCCAGCACGGTCTATTTTAAAAGCAGACTTGACCATGTCACCACTTTCACAGCCTGCAGACAGGCAATTCGGGGCAACACTTAAGGCAGGCTCTGGAACCAGACTCAGACAGTTCAAATCCCAGTTCTATCTCTGACTAGCCGTGTGATCTTGGACCTCACTTTCCTCATCAAAGAATAGGAGTATCTTCCTCATAGGATTCTTGTGAGGATTAACTTAGTTATATATAGTACTCAACATAGGTGCCTGGCATGGCAGTATGCAATAAATTCTAAGTGTTTATGACCACTGACCACCATCTACCAGTTTTCTTATACACACACCCATAAATGGCTTCAGACCCATCACCACCTCATACTCTATACTCCACTAATTGGACTGACATTTAAGGGTCAACCACTCTCCTATGTGTTCAGATTTGGCAACCAAACTCTCTGTAGTCCCTCCTAATACACCTTTGCACTCTTGAAAGTTTCATTGATACCATTCCCTCAGCCTAACACACGGTTCTTTCTCACCACTGTTCACCATGAAGACTGAGCGCAAATGTCACCTCCGCGTTGGGCTTATGGGCCCCTCCTCTGCGCTCACCTCTAGTTAACACCCCACTGAAAGTGAAATTACCCTTTCCTGCCTGTTTCCTCTATGAGAGGTAAGCTCCAAGGGCAGGGGCCATGTTTCAGTCATTTTTGAACCTTTGAACTCAGCAGTGCAGAGCATACCAGAGAGGCCGTCATTGAACCGAACTCCCTCTGCTTCTCACTGGGCTGCTGACTGGACCAGTCCAGCCACCCATGTAGGGAGCAGACATGACTGAGGCCCCTCCCTTCTCCCAAGTAATGAGATAGGGGGCAAAGTTACTCTCGGTCTCCAGGCTCCATAAAACCCATAAAGACCTGTCATTGGTATCTACCAGTATGCCCATTCTTTGCATTCACTGTATATATATAACTCTCAGAAAGCCCGAGGAAGATTTTCTGCTAGCTTTGAGGACAGGAGTGTGGGAGCAGGACCAGGAGCCCCGTTCTGTTCCACCACAGGTGAGGAAGCCTGACTGGAGGCTATCAACAGGTGACAGCAGGGGAAGGGAACAGACCAGGCATTTCTGGAACTGGGAGACAATAAAGATAAATAGAAAGGCTATGGATGGCCTTTATCAGAACTGATCTCCTTCCCCATTCCCAATGTCACCAGAATCCTGAACCCAGGCCAGGGAGCAGAGAGACCCAGTCTCTCTGGGCTGCCAAGCAAGAGGAGTGGGTGGCAGTGTAGCCCAGGGGTGAGTGCAGGATCTAAGGCAGAGGGACTGGGATTCAGTCTTGGTTCCTCTCACTAGCTGCACCACCATTAGGCAAGGTGCCTAAAAGGGAGTAACAACAGTGCCTACCTCATGGAGGAGACAAAAGAATCAAATGAGATCATGCAAGTGAAGCATTCAGCACACTTGGGTGGTTAGTGCTCATTCACCTTGATTAGCTGTCACCATCCTGGCCAGCAAGCATGAAAAAGCACAGGAACTGCTGATTCACAGGACCCTTCGGAGCAGCGTTCCTGTCTCCGAGTTGACTCACGGTGGTTAGAGGGTTAGGACCCAACTTAATCCACTTAAAGGT